ATATTTTAAAATATTTATATTATTAATATAAAGCCATAAAAAGTGCTGTTCACACTGGAACCCAGGTATCTTCAGTATCACCAGCTTTTAGAGTAACACGTGGGAGAAGACAGTTTGGTCTAAGCTCTGTCCTGCTTGGCTATGGGAAGTCTGGGCTTCTACCGGGTTGCCCTTCACCCCCATTAATTTTTGGAATCTCCAAGAAGCATTTATAAATTCCACAAACTTCTTCTGGTTGTCATTTATCTCCTCAGCCAGCCAGGTCACCCCAGACCGACGTGCCAGCTGGTCTTAGCCAATCATCAGTCTGCTTCTCCAGTTCAGTTTGTCCTTTACTGCTTTATTCCAAGTATAGAGTCCCTAAAGCACAGCTAAGATGAGGCACAAATGCTTAACCAAATGTTCATGAAAACTTAGGAATACCAGAAGGGAAATAAAACATGGAAGGAAAGACTGAAAACAGATTACCAAATTTGACTGCACTCAGAGTCCATGCTAAACCCCTCCCCTGGGAATTCACTCTGACATTTTTCTTAACCCCCAGCCTGTTACTCATATTGCAGGGGGCTAGCTTACCTCCCCATAAAGTGGGTGTCTTTGACCAAGTTCCATTTCACAAAAACTTTGTGAAACAGTGACTCGAATTTAGAAAATAAATGAACAATTTTTTTTAAGTTCAACTTGTATCACTTTGTACTTCTAGGACCAGAAAAGCAAGGAAATATCCATATTTATGGTATTATCTTTTTTGCAGTGATTCGGCTCTAATATCCCAATTTTTTTCATTTCAGGGATATTATGATATAAATAGTGAAGTGTTTTTAAGTTTGCCTTGCATCCTTGGAACCAGTGGAGTGTCTGAAGTCATCAGGACCACAGTGAAAGAAGATACAGTGACTGAGAAACTCCAAAGCAGTGCATCATCAATACACAGTCTCCAGCAACAGTTAAAACTTTGGTTCTAAAGTTCAGAATTACTTGAAAGGAAAGTCGTTTAATTTTACCAACATATATATAGGGCTGAGAACTTCTGTGTCTTATTATTTATCCTTACAAACTGCTTGGTTAAGGTAGATGGTTTCTTGGTTGGCTTTGTAATATGAATCCTTAGGTAGTTAGATAAGAAGGAAAAAAATCTAATTTTCTTTGTTGTTCTTGAGATATCTATACTGTTCTTTAAACCTACAGCAGAGATAAACGTTCATCTGCAATATGCATCGTTTTAAAATTATGTATCCTCAATTAGCACCTTTAGCACTTTGGGAGTACTTTGAAAATGATACATTTTTAAAGGAAAATTACTCTTTGACTGTTATAATAACCATGATAAGCCGAAAGCCCAGTATGGATTTACAAAATCTGTGCCAGCTATACACTCAAAGGATCCACAATTTAAGCTATTAATGTTTCTTCTTTAAAAACAGTGGGTAGTAATGATAATAAAGCATTTTGTTTTCCCTCTTCAAATTGATTAGCTACCAAAAAAATGGAAAAGAATTTTACACGTACTTTAAAATAGTAAAAAGGAAAATGAAAATTTTTAATATATGAAGAAAAAGTGTACTTTAATTTCCAGTGGGACTGTCCTTTCTGGAATTTTCTATAACCTCTTCCTAGGCTATATAAGATCTCCGACATCTCAAGAACGCACTGTGACATTAGTAGAACCATAGAGAATGTGTATTTTTAGTGGAAGTAGGTAATGAATGAAAGCCAAGCAGTTTAAAGCTAAAATATGAGGCTTTCATAAAAGCCATTGGTCTTAATGGGGAGAGGTTGGGTGGGCTGATTGTCTGAGCAAATCCTTTAACTACTCCTGAAGAAATGATTTACTTTGGTGATGGGTCAATAATGACAATATCTTCATATGTGAAAGATAGCATATCATTACGAATGTGGCGCACAGCTAAGAGCAACAACTAACATCAACACTTCTAGTATTTCTGGCAATGTGATGAGTACTTTATTGTTTTTTTCCTCAGGATTATTTATTAATCCTCACAGTAACCCACTGAGGAAGGGACTATTATCATCATTTTATAGAGGAGGAAATTGAGGTTTAGTGCCCAAGATCTCATGACTAAGGGACACTTACATACAACCTCTACTTTTTCTAAGTACGAGAAGAGGGAAAAAGCATAAAAGCGGAAATAGTTACCACAAGACCCTAAAGCTGGGGTTCTATACTCTTATATTCTCATGTAGGGGCTTTTTTTTTCAATATAGGTTTTAGAAAGACTGATTCTCTGACTTCCCAGACTTGCCCTCAGCAAATAGCTGGGGGGAATGGGGGAGGTACGCACTGAAGTAGGCGTTTAGTTATTTAGTCATTCAGTTAAATAAGTGGGAGCCTGCTATACACCAGGTGCCATACTGGGCACTGCAGATACAGTGGTGAGCAAACCTGGACTAGGTACAAGCCCTCATGGTGCTTATAATCTAGTATGGAAACATAGTAATCAAGTCTCACAAATAAATGTCCAATGCAAGTGTAATAAGTGCTGTGAAGAAGTCCCAGGTGCTTTGAAAGCATATTATAGGTAACCCAAACCTGGTCAATGAGATAGGAGCCAGATGGATTATACGGGCAGACATACCTTAGGTAGAGAGGAAACAGTCAAACTAATGCTGATTTAGAATAATAATGGATGCTTATAATGATGAGCTTAAATCATAAAGAAAAGGTGAAATTATATTCAGTGTTCCATGTTTAAGTAGAAAAGTATTTAATATGCTTGGAAAGATTCACACCATAATGAACTAGTGTAAAAACATTGGCCATTTGAAGAGAAGAGCATTAGTTCTGTGTAATTTCACTGCATGGGTAGGTTATTTTGCTGTTAACTCTAATAGTATATCCTCACTGTCCTTTTGTATGAAATAAGAAATTAAAACTAAAAGGACCATTTCTTGTGTTTTTAAAGTCGCCTTTTCTAATATCAGATACCTAATTGTGCTCTTGAACAATAACCTAATAACTGTATAACTGTATAACAATAACTGTATAAATAGATGAATTACTAAGAATTCACTACATTAATTATAAAAGGAACATGTCACTACAACAATACTTATTGTGTCTACTGTTATTCCGGGTACTGTGTTAGAATCTGAGAAGTGAAAAGATGAGTAATAATAGCCCTTGCCCTACAGAAGCCCACAATATAGAAGTAATTCTATCAGATATTTCCTTGAGTGTTGAGTATTATAAATCATGTAGTAAGTTCCATATATAAGTCAAGAAGCAGTACCACCACCACCTCACTGTGATTTGGTGATAATTTGACATTCATGATGCTTCTATTAACTTTCACTTTTTTTCATCTTTCCAAAATCATGCAGTGTCTCTTGTTATGGTTTTTAATGGGGCTTGGATTAAAATGCTTCTTTGATATTGTAACAGATAAATATTTTATTTTCCAATTTACATTGTAGTTATTCTTAAATATCAAGAATAATGAATAAAATAAACTTTGACTTTAAAATTACTGGGAGATTCCTAATTTATTGGGTGGAAGGAAATATATTCAGATTGAGGAGAAAGATTCTTTCCTATAATTCATACAGTCCCCAGGGTATTTAGTTACTTCATTTTAAGTGGCTTAAGTGCAAAATGAAGAGAATGGATTTTGTTAATTGTTTTCAAAATTTTAAAAATTATTTTTAACAAGAACACCTTTTGAACAATATATTACCTACACTCTTCCAATTGATAAAAGTAGAATTGCTGTAACTGAAGGTGCTCCTGGGTAAGCTGTGGCTTTAAGAATAGTTTGAAAAGCACATTACTTTTAAGTGACAAAGAAGAGGTGTAGGGAAGGATAGACTGCCCTATAGTTTGGTTTGACTGGAGCTGTGTGCTTAACTAATGTATAGTGTCCAAAGAAAGATACCTATTAAAATAGACTTTATTTTGTGTGTGTTGGCAACAATGTATAATGATGCTTCCACATGTTGTCAATTAGACCCTCTTTGTGTATGTGACCTTCACTTAGAGGCCAATTTAGAAGAGAATTAATACCACAGCCTGTTCCCCAGTAGCACTATGCTAATATCATCCAAATAATCATACTTCACACCGTCAAAACCAAGCTTTACAGTACCTCGAATGGCACTGTACTTACAAAACTGGTGGTGCTGTGCAATAATAATGACTAATATAAATGACCATGAGGAACTTCTATGGGTATAGAAATTCAATTAAGATAGAGTACCTACTCTTGCACTGTATAATAAGACAGTGAGGATCTGAAGATGAGTCTGCCCTCAAAGACTTGGACTTTGTTAGTGGACAGGCTAGTACACACACGGAATCCAAGGTAGAAGGTAGGATGTCTGGGCACCAAGGAGAAATGGGGGCTTGGATTAAAATGCTTAATCCAAGCATTTGGATTAGGGGAATGATTTCCTGTAGAAGAAATTACTGCCTGGCTTCCTGTGAAACGAGGGCTCTGCACTTTGCCCTCGGGAATGTAGTATGATGAACTTTTCACCTTAAAAATGAAAAACAGCCTGATAATCAGAGACGCTGGGCATCGCCTTTTGCAAGCCTTGCATCCTAGAGTTGGAAAAAACTGAAGCCCGAACTAGGAGTGCATTTGCCTGCTATTATCAGAAGGGCAAGTCAGTGGCAGAACTGTTTTTCTGACTCCAGTCCAGTGCCTTCCCACTTGATGTTTGTCGTTTAAGCTCACTGGCAAGATCTTCGTACTTCTTCCCCTCCCTGCACCTGCGCTTAGTCTAAGGGCAACTGTCAATGACCTGCCAATCTTATCCCGGCTCAGAGTTTCCACCCTCGGAACAAAAGTGCACTCTTGGAAAGATTCACACCATAATGAACTAGTGTAAAAACACTGGCCATTTGAAGAGAAGAGCGCAAAATTGCATAAGATTGCTCGGCCTGCCAAGCTCTAGCCACGCCCACCCTTGGTCACCGACCTCGGAAGTGACGTAAGGGAACCGGAAGCTTTGGCGTGGTGGCCTACTTCCTGTTGGTAGAGGTGGGGGGGGTGGGGGGCTGGCTCCGCGGTGTGCGACTGTGTGGGGCAGCCTGGGGCAGCCCCGGAGCGGCTGACCCTCTGCCTGTGGGGACGGGAGTCGCGAGGCGGCCGGCATGGCGGGGTCGGAGAGCCAGCTCAAGAAAATGGTGTCCAAGGTGAGGCCGCGGCGCGCTCGCCTTTCGGCGCGCACCCACCGCTCCCTTCCACGCCGCCCGGGCCTTTCCGACCAGCCCAGCGAGCCCCCCCGGGCGAGCCCGAAGCCCCGGGCAGTGCCCGGCCGCCTCCGCTGCCCCAGCCCCGGGATGCCTGTCGCCCGGTGCCGGAATCCTGGGCCGGGGCCGGCTCGGGGCGGCGACGGTCAACAAAGGCGCGGAGCCGAGGCTGCCTGCCACCTGCCGCCCGTCCTCCTCCTCTTCAGGGAGAGAGTTTGGAGCAGTCTTTGCGGCAGTGTAGTTTTCGTCTTAGTTTTTATCAACACAAAGAGAGGGTTGTACTTAAAACTCGGTCGTGGGCACTCCTCCACTTGTGTCCCAGTGTAGGGTTCGTGCGTCTTCGCCCTTCCCTCCCGGCCCCCGGAGATTGTGTCCTTTTCAGTTTGTATTCTTCACGCAGCTCAATAGCCGACCCGCGGGAGATCATAACTTTTGGTTGAATTGGCTCAGTTATAAGTAAAAACGTCCTTGAGAAGCCAGAATACCGGTACGTCACTACATCGGGTGAAATAAATAGAATTCCATTACCATTTCAGGGACTTTGATTTGCTAAGAGTGACTACCTTTAATTGTATGCTACTTATAACGCGGAATTATTTGGTTTGAAATTTTTAATCTTCACCGTTCAAGGCCGGTGTATTTTTTTCATTTTTATAAAAGCAGGTAGGCATTTTGTATTTAAAGCCGTGAGTTATTTTGACAACTACTTAAAATGTGGCATCTGATACCAGAGTGAACTGGGTGTTTTTTTTGGTTTTTGGTTTTTTTTCAGTTTATCAAAGCTAATTGGAATCAGATGTATGTGAAATGGTTGAGTGTAGAATCTTCTCCAGTTAAACGATTAGCTTTAGATACTTTTGTCAAAACAAGAATGGTAGGAAGCAAAGAAGTTTAAACAGTTTTCAATAGTATTAAAATACACTATTATGTATGAACTTATTCCTTTGAAAAATATACTTTTTCCCCCAGTAAAATCATCCCCATAGTCTTTGATTGAAGAGCAAATAATCTCTAAAGAGAGAGTGATGGTTTTTTAAATAAAGCTTCTCTTGATTATTCTAATCATATCTTCTAGGCTTCTGATTTTCTTTCTTTTTAAAAAAAATTGAGGTATAGTTGATTTGATTTTCTTTCGATAAAGTAATTATCCTTAATTGTAGAGGAAGTTTTAGGGAGCCCTAGAAGATTGTGGCAGAGGTCTGTGTTGTAACATTTATATATTGCTTTTTTTTTTTAAAGTACATTGTTTTATATACTATGTAACTGAAGAGTATCTGTTCCGTACCATACTATGTAACTGAAGAGTATCTGTTCCGTACCATTTTTTTTTATCTTTAAAGTTGATAACATTGCCCTTAAGGTTTATTCCTTAATTTATATGTATGAAGGTATTTACATACAAGGACAGGAATATTCAAATATTGGTTTTGAATTTTTAAAACCATAATTAGTTTTCCTAAACTTTGTGTAGAGGAACCTGCCTTCAAAGACAGAGGCAGGACATCTTTAGAAGATATTTTATACTTCCACCTGTCTTTTCCCTCCACCCTCTTCATATCCTAAGAACAAAAAAGGACATAGGGAAGAGGTGGGAGAGGGCATTCTGTCTTTTGGTTCTTGGCTCGGTTTCTGAAAAACTGAGTCTCTTACAAGTGGTGATGTCAGTTCTGAGTATCAGCATGTTTTCTCTCCAGCCTGTGAAGAGATAGATAGGTAGGAATAGTAAGTAGGGTAATAGAAGCAATTTGTGGAATTTCTTCCTCCTGGTGGAGAGCTGGCTTCAGGTGTTATCCTTTCAGTTGGGTGTGGTCCAGTGTAGGCATTGGTAGCCAGGACTTGGACACATTGCTAGGGAGATGGTCCTTTACTCTTTATCTGATTCTGGGACTTCCATCACCCAACATGTTACTTTGGGCCACCTGCTTTTACTTATGTCTTTTTTGAGGTATAACGGACATAGAACAGTATATTATCTTTTGATATATTACTACAGGTATTTTTTTCCTTTGAGCATTTATTTTAGCTCCCAACTTAAATACAGCTTTTAGTTTAACAATCTCTCTGTCATTGTTTTTGCAGTTTAGAGAGGTATATTTATACTATTGGTCCATCTTGCTTTACACAAATAACTTATATTTTTCATACAGACAACTACCTGTATTCTTACATGCTACATCTACAGCATTCCTAGAGGTGGAGTCACTACTAACTAGGTAGGAGAGAGCTGGCACATTAAAGATTGTAATGCACTTCACACTGTTTTAGATTCTAGGGATACAACAGTGAACAGACAGTGTGGAATTTAAATTCTATTAGAAGGCAACAAACAACTCAGTAAGTACATTACGTAGCATGTTAGAAGGTGTTAAGTACTTTGGAGAAAAGTAAAGCAGGAAAGGGTAATAGAGTGCTCAAACGTGAGAATAGGATAGGTTGCAGTTTTATAGAGTAGTAAAGGAAGGCCTTCCTGAGGTCTATTTGAGCAAGACCTGAAAGAGGTGAGGAAGCAAACTGGAACAATCTGGAGTAAGAACATTCCAGGAAGAAGGAAAAACAAGCACAAGGGCCCTGAGACAGAAGCTTGTCATGCATGATAGAGGAACAGCAAAGGGAGCTAAGGGGGCTGGACTGGAGTGAGCAAGGGGAAACAGTGCTGAATAAAGGGGTGGTAGATTTTGGAGGGTCTTGCAGGCCACTGTAAGCACTTTGGCTTTTACTTGGAGTATGGTGGGAAGCGCCTGATCTGTTACTTGTACTTGGAGTATGGTGGGAAGCCCCTGATCTGTTAACAGTATAGCTCTAGCTGCTGTGCTGAGACTAGACTGTAGGAGGTTCAGTCGAGTGGAAGCAGAGACAACTCTAAGGAGGCAGTTGTAGTAACCTAAGTGTAGCCATGAAGGTAGTGAGGAGTGATCAGGTTCTGGATATTTTTGAAGGTAGAGCTAACAGGGTTTTCCGACAGACTCACTGTGGATGTGTAGGAAAGAGAAGCATCCAGGATAATGTCAAAGCTTTTGTCCTGAGCAACTAGAAGGATACAGACATGGAAGACTGTAAGAGGCATAGATTTTGGGGGGAAGATAAGGAGTTCAATTTTGATCATGTTAAATTTGACATTCATTAGATATCCAAGTGGAGATATCAAATTGGTAATTGGATATACGTGTCTGGAGTTCAGGAAAGAGGTTCAGACTGGACTTTTTAAATTTGGGAGTTATCAGTGTATGAATGTTATTTTAAGCCATGCATGGAGATCACCAAAGGAGTGAGTTGAGATAAAGAAGAGGACCAAGGACTGAGCCCTGGGGCTCAATATTATTAAGATAAGAGGTTAGGAGAAGAGAAAGAACCAGCAAAGACCCTGAGAAGGGGTAGACACAGAGAGGAGAAAAAGAAGCAGTGGTGTCCTGCAAATCAAGTGAAGAACATGTGTTAAGAGGAAGGAATTGACTTGGTCAAATGCTGCTGTGATAGGTTAAGTAAGATGAAGACTGAGGATTGGCCATTGCATATGGCCATGTGTGGCAGTTACTGGTGACGTTAATGAGCAATTTCAGTGAAAGTGGAAAACCCTGATTGGAGTGGGTTTGAAGAGGATGGGTCTAGTCTTTGAGCATCAGTGGTTAACATCACGGAGAGATATCTAGATGTCATATGCTACTTGATGGAAAAACACCATCATCTGTGAAATGATCTTGCCAGAGAGAGGGGAAGACAGTGGAGGAAAAAAAAGTAAAATTTAGAAAAAAATCATGAAAAAGATCATAACTTCCAGACCCAACTACTAATTCACAAGAAATACAAAGGAAATAGGAACATATATATTAAACTACACCAAGGGGACACAGTTAGCAAAATCCAAACTGTGGGAGCTTCTATAGGACAAATGAACCGATTTCTTCAACAAGTAAGTTTGAAGGGGTTAAAATAGAAATGGGCCCACTGATGAGTAGTTAAAATGGGTTATATCCGTATAATGGAATATTATTCAGCAACATGAATGTACCTTGAAAACCTGCTAAGTGAAAGAAGGTAGTCATAAATGACCACAGACTATATAATTCCATTTATATGAAATGTCCAGAATAGGCAAATTGATAGAAACAAAGTAGATTAGCAGTTGTCTAGGGTGAAATGGGATGTCGCTGGTGGAGTGAGTGGGTGATTGCTACAGGGTGTGCATTTCTTTTGGGGGTGATGAAGATGTTCTAAAATTGATAGTGGTGGCAGTTGTACAACTCTGAATGTACTAACAGCCACTGAGCCTTACGTAAGTCACTTTAAATGTGTGAATTATATGGTATGTGAATTATATCTCAGTAAAGCTATTATCAAAAAAGAGGGGTGGGAGAGAATCTGTAGATTAAAAGAGTCCTAAAGGACATTTTCACATTGAAATATGTGGTCTTTATTTGGATCTCCATTCAAACTAAAAAAAAAAAATGACATGAGACTGCATATTTTATGATATAAGGAAATAGTGATTATTTTAGTGTGATAATAGTATTGTGGGCTTTTTTTTAAAGTTCTTATCTTTTAAAGATACGTACTAAAATATTTATGGGTAATAGGATATGATGTTACCATTTGCTTCAGAATAATACAGGAGGAGGGAAAGGTGAATGAGATTATAGATTAAATAAGATTGGCTATGAGTTGATTGTTGAAGCTGGGTGTAGTGCTGAAGCAGGGGATTTATTATACTGTTCTACTTTTGGATACCTTTGAAATGTTCCATAATAAAAAGCTTTTAAGAGGAGAGAGTAGGAAGAGAGCAATTATGGACAGCAAAAGTAGGAAGCTCCTTGCAGGAGTTTTTGCTGTAAAGGGGAACTGAGAGAAGTTTGGTTGTAGGTGGAGGGGGAAGGGAGGTAAGGAATGTTTTTGTGTGAATAAGACAGGAGAAAGAAAAATATGTGTGTGGTAATAGTACTGATCCCATAGCATGGAAAAATTGGTGCTTCAGGACAAAAGAGGTCAAGAACTGCTGAAGAGATGCCTTTGAGTAGACCTGGATTTATTTCCTAATTTTTCTTGTATTTTCTCCCTTATTGTCTATCACTGTCTTTTGTGCTGGTCTCTGAGATTTCTTTGACTTTATATTCTAATCCTTCTATTAGATGTTTTATTTCTACTCTCACTTTTTTTTATGTCCAGGAGTCCTTTCTTTTCTGAGTGTTCTTGTTTTATGGATACAATATCATTTCTTCTTTCTTTGAAATTTTTAATGCTAATTCTTTTTGAAGTTTTCTTCTGCTCCTTGCATTATTTTTATTCTTCGTTCCTTCTTTCCGTTTCCGTCTGTGACATGTTTCTTGGAGTCTTTCTTTTTGGAATAGCTGACTGTTCCTTTTTAAGACAGAAGCACTAAAAGCTGATTGAAAGCTTTGTGCATGAATGGAGCTTGTCAGCTTCAGTGTGTTGTGAACAGATGGGGATCCCCATCTCCTGATTTCCTAATCTGCTAAGAGTGTGTAAGCAAGGTTCCTAGTTTTCCTGGACTGGAGTGGTACAAGGCAGGGGTATGAGAATACAATACAGCACATGGTAAATTGCAAAATAGTATTGACGATGAATGCTGGAGAGGGAGAGATCGTTTTGGGCTAAAGGGAAGTCTGGAAAAGGATTCATTGAGAAGGAAAGTGATGTAAACTAGGTCTTTGAGAATGATTAAGATTTGATTTGGCGGAGGGCCTTTTAAGTTGGAAAAATAGCTAAAATGGAGGTAAAAGTTTGAATAGGTGGCAGGAGAAAAAGCTACTGAGGTTCTTTCAGTCTTTATTTAATTAATGTTAATGATCACTCAGAACCATTATACTTTTAAGAAGAGTGCTATTAATAAGATTTTAAGAAAATTAACCTAGCAGTAAAATATGTGCATTGGTTTTAAACTAAATTCATTTGTAATTTTCCTTTTCAGTACAAATACAGAGACCTAACTGTACGTGAAACTGTCAGTGTTATTACTTTATACAAAGATCTCAAACCTGTATTGGATTCATATGGTGAGTTTATATAATAAAAATATCAAGTACTATACTTTGAGTTTACTCTTTTTGTTAATAATTGTAGGTTTCCCATTTTCCCTTTAAGTTTGTTGGTTTTTTCATTGTAGGACTAACCTTCACCTAAAAAAAGTTGTGAGAGATAGGAAATTACAAGATCTAATAATAACATCTTACATTTGTTTAGTTATTTTAAGTTTTAATATACTACTCTAACATAGAACTAATGCAAATTTAGAACTAGAGGTGATGTTAAAAATAGTTTAGTCCATCATTTCCCAAAATAGTATACATAGTTGTGAAGAATGTTGCTTTGGGGGCATGGGTAGAGGGGATTCTGAGGTTAAGTTTGAGCACTTATAGATTAAACAAAATTAAATGGGTTTCTTTGCAACAAGATTTCTCAGAGCCTTTAATATGCTAATGTGTCATTATGCCTCACCAAGGGGGGAGAGAAGATAATACATTGTTCAGTATATTCTAAAGTTAATTAACTAGTGAACCTTTTTTCTCTCTAGAGCATCTCTTTATATTCTTAGGAACACATTTTGTAAAACTATATTCTGGACTATCCTTTTCATTTTATAGATGAAGAAAACACTTAAAAGCTATTGTCCTTAATTCTGTAGAGTAGGTAGGTGACAATTTGTGTCCACCTTCTATTGAGATGAAATAAAGTTGTGATTTAAGTAAGAAATGACAATATTCAGAGGGTTTTATTTGGTTTGTTTTTTTTTAAACAGTCTTTTTGGCCCCACCAATCCTAACATAATCTCTCCAACCCCGTCTCCTGGTAAACACCAAATGTGCCAGGGCCAAGGCATGCTGCCTCCTGCCCATTGTGAGGCCCTTGGCAATGAGGGCAAAGAGCTGAATTTTGTAGCTGAGACTCTCACTCTAAACCCCACTCGTCTCCAGGGCTTTGTAAACAGGAGCCTGGTGAGAGGCAGCAGAGGGGGAATCAATCCTGAATATCCTGAACAACAAAGTCATGAACTGGAAGTCCTCTCCCAAACTAGGGCATAATTCTCCTTCCTTTCCACATACTGTACTATGGTATTTAGATCTGCAAAAAAACTCATATTACCAAAATTAGAGTTAATTTAAAAATGGCTTCAACGGGGGAATAAAGTGACAAAGGCTAGAATTTTATGGTAAGTGTATAGTTTTTACTGAATACTAAAAGAATAAATGTTGATCAAAACTGACAAAGAGGGGGCTTCCCTGGTGGCGCAGTGGTTGAGAGTCTGCCTGCCGATGCAGGGGACATGGGTTCGTGCCCCGGTCCGGGAGGATCCCACATGCCACGGAGCGGCTGGGCCCGTGAGCCATGGCCGCTGAGCCTGCGCGTCTGGAGCCTGTGCTCCGCAACGGGAGAGGCCACAGCAGTGAAAGGCCCGCGTACCACAAAAAACCCCCAAAAAACAACAACAACAAAATAAACTGACAAAGATTCCAACATCACTGAACAAATATATACAGCCACACAGGCTGGACCAAGTCTAAACCATTGTCATCAACATGCTTTTAGAGTAAATATAACCCTAAAATTAAATACGGTGGTCTTTTAAAAATACAAAATCAGAATAAATTACAGCACAGTTTATAATTGTCAATAGTAGGTAAAAGAACTGAGGTCAACAGTACAGTTCTGTGTTCTTGTACTGCACATTACAGCCTTTCCTCTATGTAATAGTGTTAAATCCAAATCATTATTACAGATAATAGCAGTCCATGTAACACAAAGTATGTGCCCTAGTTATTCAGCCAATTACAGGTAGGAAAACTTGTGCGATGTGAGAAATATTTGTATTAAAAGAAGATGTCCGTATTTGACTGTGAAAACTTTTTTCCTTTTTCATACTGTGGGATACTACATTGGGATTGAGAATGACAGTGAGTGGGAATAAACATCTGAAAATATTAGGTTAATACTTAATATGGTGTCAGTTAATAGTGGTTTTTAAGTAATTTTATAATCATGTTGGTTGGGGATCCAGAGCTCATATTTATTGGGACTGTAGCATTAACATTTATTTTTCCAAGTAATCCATAGCATCTTTACTCATTCAAAGCTGATCCCATTAAGTGAATCAACAAAGGATACTTATTTATTGGACAAAATGTATGAACATTAACAAGTTAGTCCTTTCAAGGGTAATAATGTGTTTTAACTATTGTTTCTGAAACATAAGAATAACTTATGTGGGAGCATCTGTGAGAATGCTTGTTGATTAACTCATTATTCTTACCTTTCAGTTTTTAATGATGGCAGTTCCAGGGAACTAATGAACCTCACTGGAACGATTCCTGTGCCTTATAGAGGTAAATGTCTTATGTGATTCATGTTTCCAGCATAGATGCATTTTAATTCACATTTAGTTGCCAAAGAATTGTAGGTAATTAAGCTTGCTTTTTTGTGACTTTCATGATAATATAGAAACTTCACCTCCTATTCTAATTGAACTTCATTTGGCAGCAGCACCTCACATTTTCAGCTTTTTTCCCCTACTTCCTTACCAAGATATATCAACAAATAAGTGCCTCAGTGCACTGTAAGAGTTTGTTTGATAGAATCAGAGAATCTTAGAACTAGAAAGGGATCTTAGCTGCCTCCTAGTTCAGCTCCCACCCTACTCAAACTTACCTGACAATGGGAAGCTGTATAGTATAGTGACTAAGATAGAGGCTTTACAGTCAGGGCAGAGTAGGGTTTTAGTTCTCCCTCTGTAATCTATTAGTTTTGTGACAATGGGCATCTGTAACATTTGGATAATAGTACCTAACTCAAAGAAGAATTCATTTGTAATAATGTATGTAAAGGACTTAGCACAGAGGCTGGTATATCAAAAGTAGCTATTATTTATGGTTGTAATGCTGATGATGGATAATTACATCTCTGTTAGTCAGCCACCCTCTGCTGGAAGACTTACAATGATAATGGAGCATTCAGCTTCACGAGCAACTGTGGACAGCTCTGTGAGTTATTCCTTGTGACTAGCTAAGACCTGTGTCTCAGTAACCTACCCATTGATTTTATATAGTACCTGCTATGCGTGGGGGAAAAGGGCTAGGGATACAAAGGTGAATAAAGGATGTACCTTCCCTGGAAGAACATACACAAATAGGGGAAACAGGGAATAAATAGATATTTACGCTATTCTATACCCGTTATAGAATAATGAAATATAAAGGTGCTGTGAGATTATAGAGGAGAACAAGAACACGTGGGAAGGTCATCAAAGAAATGACGTTCAATTTGGTGTTAAAGGATGAGTGAACCATTCATAACAGAATGGACATCCCAGGCAGAGGGAAAAAACACTTGAGCATCAGCATTTTATAGAGCAAATACGAGTAAACTTCAGGATTATTGACTTTGCCTTTACCCCAGGAAGTAAGCTCTGGTGAGGGAAAAAGGTATGTGGGGGAGAGAAGGAGGCAGAAGACTATTGTAGACATAATTAAAGACATTTCTTATTTTTTTCTTCTGGTTTTATTGAGATGTAATTGACATATAGCACTATATAAGTTTGATATACAGCGTAATGATTGACTTCATACATCAAGAAATGATTACCTCAGTAAGCTTAGTGAACATCTGTCATATAGATACAAAATTAGAGAAACAAAAAAATATTTTTCCTTTGTGATGAAATTCTTAAGTTTTCATCAAGTTGCGATGTTTACTCTCTTAACAACTTTCATATGTAACATACAGCAGTGTTCATAACATTTATCATGTTGTACATTACATTCCCAGTACTTACTTTTTTTTTTTTTTTTTTGGCTGCGTTGGGTCTTCGTTGCTGCTCGCGGGCTTTCTCTAGTTGCGGCGAGCAGGGGCTACTCTTCGTTGCGGTGCATGGGCTTCTCATTGCAGTGGTTTCTCTTGTAGCGGAGCACAGGCTCTAGGCACACAGGCTTCAGTAGTTGTGGCACCTGGGCTCAGTAGTTGTGGCACATGGGCTTAGTTGCTCCATGGCATGTGGGATCTTCCCGGACCAGGGTACAAACCTGTGTCCCCTGCATTGGCAGGCAGATTCTTAATCACTGCACCACCAGGGAAGTGCCCTTGCTTTTTTATAACTGGAAGTTTGTACCTTATGTCTACTGTCCTATAATTCTCCCTTCCCCCAGCCCTCACCTCTGATAACCACAAATTTGATCTCTTTTTCTGTTTGTTTGTTTATCTGTGTGTGTTTGAAGTATAATTGACCTATAACACTGTGTTAGTTTCTGTTATACAACATAGTGATTTGATATTTCTGTACCTTTCAAAATGATCAACATGATAAGTCTAGTTACCATCTGTCACCATACAAAACATTACATAATTATTGACAGTATTTCCCACACTGTACATATCATAATGTGATTCATTTATTTTACAGATGGAAGTTTGTATCTCTTAATCTTCCTCACCTGTTTCTCTTCTCCCACCTTCTTCCCCTCTGGCAACCACCTCTTCTTTGTATCTATGAGCCTGTTTCTGTTTAGTTTTGTTTGTTCATTTGTTTTGTTTTTTAGATTCCACATATAAGTGAAATCATACAGTATTTGTCTTTCTCTGTCTGACTTATTTCACTTAGCATAATACCCTCTAGGTCTATCCATGTTGTCACAAACGGCAAGATTTCATTCTTTTTTATGGCTCAGTAATATTCCATTATGTATATGTATACCACATCTTCTTTATCCATTCATTTATCCGTGGGTACTTAGGTTGCTTCCATATCTTGGCTATTGTAAATAATGTTGCAGTGAACATAGGAGTGCATATATCTTTTCAAATTAGTGTTTTCATTTTTTTCAGATAAATAACCAGAAGTAGAATTGCTGGATCATATGGTAGTTCTATTTTTAATTTTTAAGTAATCTCCATACTGTTTTCCATAGTGGCTGCACCAATTTATATTCCCAACAGCAGTGCACAAGGGTTCTCTTTCTCATACACAAACACACACACACACACATACACATGCATACATACATGTAAATTTTATTTAAACTAAACCTTTGTTCCTTCACCATTTTTTTGTACGGCACAGTTCCTAAGCCTAAGTAATTCTAGAGAATCCATCATTTTCATAAAGCAAAGAATTCTAGATGGTGGAAATAAAGTTATGTTTTATGTATTAGGATATATTTTATTGGAGTCTTTTTTTTTTCATTCTAGAAGTACTTTTGGGTGAAAAATAAATCCGAAGTCCCGTAACTGTCTGATTTCTTTAAGTGAATTTTATATGTATATACTTTTATGAAGTAAAACTGTTTCTGAGTGGGGGAAATGTATGTGAATTATGTTAGGTGATTCAAATGGTTGCTTGGGACACTGGGCTTTAACCTTAGGAAGAAAAGTCTTTGGTTTATGTTCAATATATTAACTATCAGATCCTTTGAAACACTGTTCATTTTGACTATATATAGTCAAATTTCTCAACTGAGAGAGATTCTATTACATAAAGCAAAAGAAGGGGGATGACATCATTGATTGTGAAACTACCACTGAAAATGCCATATTCATTGGTCAAGCTGTGGCCACCAGTCAGCATCTGTTTGACACTTGGATTAGGTCTTACAGTGTGACTTTTGGCAAGGGAATTTCAAGTCTAGCATATCACTTTCCAAAAGGACACCGTTATCTGTGGTCTTCCTTCTATATCCTTTACCAGTGAACTTTATTAACTGAAGTGACAAGAGTCAAATAACAAAGAATGGCTTGAACCAAAAGATAATTTGTGAATAACGTTTTTATGGCAGTAAGTACACTTACTACACTGGCAGAGTAGTGATTAATTAGCTCCTTAATCCTGCTCATGTATTTTACAAACTGAAAATTTGAGAAACTGATGTTAAACAGAACTTTGAAACATAAAATATTTGTTGTGTTTTTTTAAAAAAGTGTTGCTTAGTTGTAGCTCTTTGTTGCTTACCTACTAAGCCATTATTGAAAAATAATAAAAGTAGAGTAACTGAAGTTTCTCTTTTTCTCTCAGGTACTACATATAATATTCCAATATGCCTGTGGCTGCTGGACACATACCCATATAATCCCCCTATCTGTTTTGTTAAGCCTACTAGTTCAATGACTATTAAAACAGGAAAGCATGTGGATGCTAACGGGAAGATATATCTTCCTTATCTACATGAATGGAAACACGTAAGTATTAACAGAGTGTTCTGAGAATTCGTTGTATTTTATATATTTTGTTCACTAGCATTTACTTTCTGTTAACTCTCAAGGAGGATTAAAGGAGAATAAATTCACGTAAGATCACTAATCACTGAGCTGGGTAATTCAAAAAAGCTCTTTAAAAGAAATATATCTGGACTTCCCTGGTAGTGCAGTGGTTAAGAATCCTCCTGCCAATGCAGGGGACACGGATTCAAGCCCTGGTCCGGGAAGATCCCACATGCCGTGGACCAACTAAGCCCACATGCCACAACTACTGAGCCTGCACTCTAGAGCCCGTGAGCCACAACTACTGAGCCCACATGCCACAACTACTGAAGCCCGTGGTCTTAGAGCCCCTGCTCCGCAACAAGAGAAGCCACTGCAATGAGAAGCCCATGCACCGCAACGAAGAGTAGCTCCTGCTTGCCACAACTAGAGAAAGCCCCCGTGCCACAGCAAAGACCCAGTGCAGCCAAAAATAAATAATAAATTTACAAGAATAAATAAATAAATAAATGAAACATATTTCTATAGAGCTTGGTAGTTTATAGAATACACATAGTCACTATTTTATTTGCTTGAGTTGAACCTTTAAGAATAGATAGAATTCACATATGGGAAATGCATTTAAAAAATATTGGGGGGCTTTCCCTGGTGGTGCAGTGGTTAAGAATCCACCTGCCAATGCGGGGGACATGGGTTCGAGCCCTGGTCCGGGAAGGTCCCACATGCTGCGGAGCAGCTAAGCCCGTGCGCCACAACTACTGAGCCTGCACTCTAGACCCCGTGAGCCACAACTGCTGAGTCCGTGAGCCACAACTACTGAAGCCTGTGTGCCTAGAGCCCCTGCTCCACAGCAAGAGAAGCCAGTGCAATGAGAAGTCCACGCACTGCAACAAAGAGTAGCCCCCACTTGCTGCAACTAGAAAAAGCCTGCGCGCAGCAAAAAAGACCCAACGCAGCCATAAATAGATAGATAGATAAATAAATTTATTTATTTAAAAAAATATGTATATTGGGTTGGCCAAAATGTTCAGTTGTTTTTTTCCGTAAGATGACTTTAGTAGCACTTAGTTGTCTTTAACTTCATTTGAAACAATTTTGTTAAATTGTATGTGATAGCTGTCCTATCAGTGTGCATTTAAAAAAAGACATCGGGCTTCCCTGGTGGTGCAGTGGTTGAGAGTCTGCCTGCCGATGCAGGGGACATGGGTTCGTGCCCCGGTCCGGGAAGATCCCACATGCCGCGGAGCGGCTAGGCCCGTGAGCCATGGCCGCTGAGCCTGTGCATCCAGAGCCTGTGCCCCGCAACGGGAGAGGCCACAACAGTAAGAGGCCCGCGTACTGCAAAAAAAAAAAAAAAAAAGACATCAAAATTGGTGAATTTTTGTGTAGCCATTCATTTTAATATTGAAGATGGAAGAAAAACAACATTTTTGGCATATTATGCTTTATTATTTCATGAAAGGTAAAAATGCAACTGAAACGCACAAAAAGATTTGTGCAGTGTACGGAGAAGGTGCTGTGATGATCAGATGTGTCAGAAGTGGTTTGCGAAGTTTCATGCTATAGATTTCTCGCTGGATGATGCTGCATGTCGGGTAGACCAGTTGAAGTTGATAGCAATCAAATCAAGACGTTAATTGAGAACAGTCAACATTATATGACACGGGAGATAGCTAACATACTCAAAATATCCAAATCAAGCACTGAAAATCATTTGCACCAGCTTGGTTATGTGAATCGCTTTGATGTTTGGGTTCCACATAAGTTAAGCAAAAAAACCCTTCCTGACCATATTTCCGCATGCGATTCTCTACTTAAACGTAATGAAAACGTTCCGTTTTTAAAATAAATTGTGATAGGGGGTGAAAAGTGGATACTGTACAATAATGTGGAACGGAAGAGATCGTAGGCAAGCAAAATGAACCACCACCAACCACACCAAAGGCCGGTCTTCATCCAAAGACGGTGATGTTGTGTATATGGTGGGATTGGAAGGGAGTCCTCTATTATGAGCTCCTTCTGGAAAACCAAACGATTCATTCCAACAAGTACTGCTCCCAGTTAGACCAACTGAAAGCAGCACTCAACAAAAAGCGTCCAGAATTAGTCAACAGGAAACTCATAATCTTCCATCAGGATAACGCAAGATGGCGTGTTTTTTGAAGACCAGGCAAAAACTGTTACAGCTTGGCTGGGAAGTTCTGATTCATCCTCCATATTTACCAGACATTGCACCTTCAGATTTCCATTGATTTCAGTCTTTACAAAATTCTCTTAATGGAAAAAATTTCAATTCCCTGGAAGACTGTAAAAGGCATCTGGAACAGTTCTTTGCTCAAAAAGATAAAACGTTTTGGGAAGATGGAATTATGAAGTTGCCTGAAAAATGGCAGAAGGTAGTGGAACAAAAGGATGACAACGTTGTTCAATAAAGTTCTTGGTGACAATGAAAAATGTGCCTTTTATTTTTACTTAAAAACAGAAGACACTTTTTGGCCAACCCAATAGTATACTGGTGGCATATATTTGTGAAACTGTTCAAATCTCATTACTCAAAGTGTTCCTATCAAGAAGTAATACTAGTAAGAAACTTCTGTTTCTGCCTCTGATGGTATAGCTCTGGCAGTTTCTATCCAAAAAAATGCTAGGAAAGTCAAAGTACAAACAACATCTGAGGAAGGCTTTGGAGAACTGTTCAGGCAATTAGGACTTGAAGGGCCAAGATCCTTGCTGCAAAGAGATGAGTCAACATTCTGCCAGTTTTCCCTAAGAGTATTTACTGATTCTTGGTACAGAGTGAGAGGCTGAGAATCTGGGCAGAGGGCATTAGCTAGAGGCAAAGAAGACTGCACAGTTTCTAACAGTCTCACAGGGCTGAAAAGACAACAGTTGCTGTTCTGTCTGCCAGGCAGCCAGTATCTTAGGAGCCAAGATTTGGGAGAAAAGGAAGCTACAAAGAAGTGAGCCAGATAATTTGAGTTTCCCCCTCAAGGGATATGCTGAATTCCTACATTTCAAAGACAAGATGCTAAAAAGCTAAGCAGAAAGCCTCTGAAATTCATAGCCAAGTTCTCAGCAGTCTTAGGTTGAGGAGGCAGTATGAGTTTGGAACCACTCACAAGGAGGAGGGGTATGAGTAAACATCCTAGGCTCTCAGTTGGCACCACTAGAGGAATACACCCCATGAGTGGGAACTCAGGCAGAATGAGCCCTATAAAACTCCACCCTTGAATCAGTTCAGTGCCTGATTATATTAAGGTGATTCTCACGGTATCTGCCAGCCATAGGATAGAGTGAACTGTTGCTGGAAGGAGATAATATATAGAGCCTGTCTAATTTTTCACGAAGTGTCCGGTGTACAATTTAAAATTATCAAGTACATCAAGAGATAGGACAAAGAGGGAAAAAAGAGTAGAAACAGGATACCACCCCCCAGGTAACCCAGTTATCAGACACAGACTTGAAAATGATTGTGATTAGTATGTTCAATATGGAGAATTAATTATAATATAATTATATTTAAAATGAACCAAATAGAAACCTTACAACAGAAAAATAGAATAATAGAAATTAAAAACCCAATAGAGGGACTTCCCTGGTGGCTCAGTGGTTAAGAATCCGCCTGCCAATGCAGGGGACACAGGTTCGTGCCCTGGTCTGGGAAGATCCAACATGCCATGGAGCAGCTAAGCCCGTGTGCCACAACTACTGAGCCTGCGCTCTAGAGCCTGCGAGCCACAACTACTGAGCCCATGTGCTGCAACTACTGAAGCCCACACACCTAGAACCCATGCTCCGCAACAAGAGAAGCCACTGCAATGAAAAGCCCATGCACCGCAACGAAGAGTAGCCCCCGCTCTCCGCGACTAGAGAAACCCGCACGCAGCAACGAAGACCCAACGCAGCCAAAATAAATAAATAAATTTAAAAAACCACAAAAACTCAATAGATGGGTTTAATAGCAGATTAGACTTAGCAGAATAGAGAATTAATGAACTGGTTTACGAATACTTTATATTTGTAATGCTGTTGACGTAGGAATAAACCTTACAAAAGATGTACAAATCCATTATGGAGGAAATTCCAAATTTTATTGAAAGATACTAGAGAAGACTTAAGTCAAAAAAAGAGAACCTTGTTCATGGATTGGAAGACTCAGTATTATAAATATGTTGGTTCTCTACAAATTGATCTATTTCTTTTTTTTTTTTTTTAAGACGTTGGGGGTAGGAGTTTATTTATTTATTTTTGCTGTGTTGGGTCTTCATTTCTGTGTGAGGGCTTTCTCTAGTTGTGGCAAGCGGGGGCCACTCTTCATCGCGGTGTGTGGGCCTCTCACTATCGCGGCCTCTCTTGTCGCGGAGCACAGGCTCCAGATGCGCAGGCTCAGTAGTTGTGGCTCACGGGCCTAGTTGCTCTGCGGCATGTGGGATCCTCCCAGACCAGGGCTG